TCCTCAAGGGCTACCATAGTGGCTATCCTTAGGTCCTCAAGGGCTACTATAGGGGCTCCCTTGGAATCTCAAGGGTTACTATAAGGGGTGCTATTGGGTCCTCAAGGGCTACTATAGTGGCTACCCTTGGTTCCTCAACTTTTTTCGGAAGGAGTACGCTTGGCTCTTGTACCCATACCTTCGTGAGGTACTGTTGTCCCTTGAAGGCTCATGAGACGAAGATACGCAGTGATCTTGAAGTGTTACTGCAGCGGCGTATTCTTCTGTACTGGTGTACTACTCTGAAAGGTGGAGTGGGTGCGGAAAGAAGACTGAGAAGATGTATGCTTCGACAGCCAAGTGCGTCGTCAAGACTTGTCACTTAGGTGTAGGGCCTTCTACTTACCGGCGTATTGTCTTTGATATCATGAGAAGTGATGATACGTTGTTGATGATGGAAATCTGTTGTTAGTAGTCTACAGATGGGCACTGTCTTCCGGTTGTTTCGCAATCGCTCGCCCAGGATGTGCGGGTGTAGGTGTGAAAGTGATAGGAGAGGTGCTATAAGGTGTGTGGCGGGAGTGTGGATTGCTTGTTATACATATGGGTAGGTTTTATGGAAGTGAATATATTCACTCACGACCAAGCCACTCACATGCTCACTCCCCCATGCTTTCAACGCTCCCCGCCCACCCACGTCCGACCACGCCCGCATCCGCCCACATCCACACTTGTGAGAACGTGACGCCTGAATGCGCTGACGTCATAAAATGTCGTGAGACACAGTCTAGTTCGCAGCATAAGCTAGACGCCTTTAGCAATCGTAAACAATGCTTTACTGTGTTTTACGCGCGTAGTGAGCTATCGCAAGAAGCCGCCGTGGAACACTGGTCTAACGATATGAAAATCTAGCTGATGTCTATGTCATAGGACCAAGCTCCTCCTAGAATATGAGTGATGCATTATTTGAGTTGATGAAATGGCCAGATTCTATTTCGCCGTGTCGGACTGAGTGAGGACCCAAACATACAACCATAAATCGATAGACTCTCCCCGATAACCCTTGGATCGGCCCGAAAATGCCCATGTATTGTCCTTACAATAAGAGAGAAAAGGTCACATAAAGTCTGATTGGTTCATTTATCGGACCAATTAAAGAGCGAATTTCTTTTTCACGATGTTGGGATGGATGAGATCACACACATATACCCATCAATCGATAGATCACCCACGACAACCCTAGCATCAGCCCAAATATACCCATGTGTTGTCCTTATAGTAAGAGATAAAGTCTATCCTGCAAGCACCGGGGAAATACGGTCGTGTTCGGTCGTTTGGCGTCGCCGTAATGTCCAACCTGGGTAGCACCTCCTGTTCACATTCAGTAGCAGTTCATCATCTTACGGAATGGAGTAGTCCCCAAACAGGGTGGAACGCTCATGCACAATATTATTTAAGGATCGAAGGAATTCCTGTAAAGGGGAACTTCAGGAGACACCAGTACATCTAAGATTAGAACTTCAGTACCCACGAGTACCTTCTAGTAGTAAGATTTGGAGGAAAATGGTACCCCCTATCGTAGCCCTTGAGGATTCAAGGATACTTCCCTATAGTAGCACTTGAGGATACAAGAGTACCCCGCTATAGTAGCCCTTGAGAACCTATGAGTACCTTTATAAGATAGTCCTTGAGGATCAATGAGTATCTTCATAAGATAGCCCTTGAGGACCTATGAGTATTTCTATAAGATAGCGCTTGAGGAACTATGGGTACCTTCATAGGTTGGCTCCTATAAATTTATGAGTATGCATTAAGAGGTGCAGTAACTAGGCTGAATATTAATTAAGGTGAGTACTAATTAGGGTGAGTACTAATCTACAATGCAAAAGTAATTGCCGAAATCTCCAGGCATGATTCTCCGCTCAAGAACATTGTAGAAAGATCATTCTTTTCTTGATTGAAAAAGCAAAGTCTAAACTTCAAAATGCATACAAAACAAAATTATTTGGAATTAACTTTAAGTGAGAAAAAAATTCCATATCAAACATAACTTAAAAAGCTGTTGCAACTTACTGTTCTATTCAAACGTACCTCGCATATCAAAGCTACTTTCCATTATCACAGTATGGGTTTCCAAATATATAATTACAGTAACTAAGAGTACTTTTGTCACTCTTTCAATTGGGATATAATATATTATTTTTTCATTCACTTTTCAACTTGAATTTCACAACTTTTCTATTAGTTTCCAAAAAAATTGGTCAGTAGATAAAATCAATGATTTTCAGGTCCTGAGCGAAAATCCCTCCTTTATCTACAACACACTTTCTGAAACAGCGTACAATTTTCTACAAATTCAAATTATTTTTATTCTTTATTAACATGTTTAGAGTTCTTAATAGTGAACTTTGCTCAATGTCCCGTTTTTCTCCTGCAAAGTAGTGCTTTATATCAAAACTAAGACATATAATGGGCGTTATTTCTTGCTAAAGGATTACTGAGAAATGTTCTGAAGTAGGGAAATCGATAGAGCTTTGCACGGACTACTTTCTCATTAATTTAATGTTCACGAAAATGTTTTGTTTCAAGTTCTAGTAAAAATATTTAAAAAATTTTGTGTTGCAATAGTTTTTTTTAGAGATGTTCGATCTGGTACTTTTTTCTCGCTCAAAGTTTACTCCAAATAATTTTGTTTTGTATGCATTTTGAAGTTTAGACTTTGCTCTTTCAATCGAGAAAAGAATGATACTTCTAAAATGTTCTTGAGCGGAGAACCATGCCTGGAGATTTCGACAATTAATTTTGCATCGTAAGTTAATTAGCGTGAGTAATAGTTTATATGAGTAATAATTAATATGAATACAGTTTTAGAAATATTTATTGATTTTAGCAGTCGTATGTTGTCTTTGTATGCATTTCGGAAAACATGGACTGCATAGCTTTGGTAAAATATGGATGCGTAAGTGAGCTCCAAATTTAGAGTTTACGTGTCCAGTTTATTTTTTTGACCAGTTTCGAGAATATATTTTAGAAAGATAACGAATGGTCAATAAGTATTTATTGGTAAAAACTAAAGCGACTTAAGCTTGGTGGTATTTCCATTTCTGTTAGTCAAGTGTAAAATTATTTTTGTACCAATAGATTATATTTGCATTTGAGTTGTTATTATAAATAATTTTATTTGATTCGATGATAAAACTGAAACCAAAATGGAACTATTTATCCTATTTCTTTTATCTATATTCATCTTTTAAATTAATTCAGGCAACTAGCTCATTGTCAAATGGAGTGGATCTTCAGGACATCCATCAGGAAGCGTCGAACCAAAATAAAAAGAATCAGTAAATAATTGTTTTACATTTTTTCTTATTCAGTTTTAAAAATCGTTCACTTAGGTATTTTAAATGCATTCGTTGCCAATGTTCACCTGTCTGTTTATCTCTATCTCTACTTGCTATTCTTCTTCTAGGCGCGGGCATTATTGCAATGCTTGTTGCCTTGCTCGGCATCCCTACAACGACAATAACAACAACAGTGACGACAACAACGGCAACAACATCAACATCAACAACAACATCAACATCAACATCAACATCAACATCAACAACAACAACCACAGGTAGAGTCGTTCTAATCAAATATATCATTTGTGAGAATAAAGATCTCACCAATTTTCTAAGGATTTGATGAAATGTGAACTAGTAATGGTTCTCAGAAATCTTAGAAGTCTCATTGAATATGAAGAACGAGCATACAATTGGTCCATTCAGTTGATACTGTTCGTTGTCGGTGCAAGAGCGACTAGTACTTTAATTTGTCACGGGTGTGGCCATATTCAGGCAAGAATTGATACGACTCAGCCATAGAAGAAACTACTGTCCTTCCTTTTCTCATTGATTTTTTTCGGTTGAGATCCGAAGTAGAATCGGATGTTTTTCTCACTTTTATTCAAGGAAGTCTACATCCATATATAGCCAAACAAGTATCTCTAGAGTCCAGCAAACAAATAATTATTTTGCCACGAAGAAACACGAGTTACACCAGAAACTATGACGATTTTTCTATTGGTTCACAGCATATATGTCCGATTCCAGAAATATGTGATTATAGATCCCGATACCTTATCACTCTGTCTTTTCCTTTTCTTATCGTCTACTTACTTGTCCTGTAGACTCCAGAGAGATGTTCATTGTTTCAGCAGAAATGTTCACTTTCAATCCAAATTTAGGGTTTGTGTGTGGGTACGTTTTTTACCGCATCCACAGTCATAACCACACCTATACTCACGCCCTACCCATACTCACATCCTTGTTTGAATTATGATTCTTAAATGGTTATTTGTATTATGTAACGAACGGAAACAAGTAAATTCTCGTTTCTACATACGATATTTCTAGTCTAAGAAAGAACTGTTTACTGTACACTTTTAAAGTGATGTTATAAATATTATTCACGAAAGTATTTTTGAGTAGAACCATAATCAACAGCGATTTTTATAAAGCTCAGTGTGGTTTTCTATCGGGACACCGTGGTGCCGCGGAAAGATCGTAGTTAAGTACGGTTTCTCGTACCACGTTAAGCGTAAATCCAAATATGTGGGGCCAAACTGCAGTACTAGATTTCGTAGCTAATCACAGCTTCCTAGAGAAACAACGCGGCGTTGTTTCGATACCCGCATTAATCCCTTCTTTCGTATCGCGTTGCACGAAAACTACGGTCAAGGGGGAAAAAGCGGATCCTGGATCCTCGGATCCTGGTGGATCCTGTGGATCCTGGTGGATCCTGTGGATCCTGGTGGATCCTGGTGGATCCTATTGGATCCTACTGGATCCTGGTGGATCCTGGTGGATCCTGATGGATCCTATTGGATCCTGGTGGATTCTGATAGATCCTAATGGATCATAGTGGAACCTGATGAATTGTAGAATAAATTATTTCAAGCGTACAGAAACGAGGATGGAAAAGTTGATCTTAATGGATATGAGAATTCTTTAAGGTCCAAATAAATTAAATGAGAAAAGGGAATAGTGACTTCAGAATTTGTAACTAAGTAAAGAGAAAAAAAGATCCAGGATGCCGAGATGATTATGTCTAAATTTTGGCATATCATCATGGATTCTGCGCATTTTTTTGATCCATCAAGATTTACGCTTCCTCGATCGGTTTGATATTATTGTAATACATGATGATTTCTATTGCATTCTAGTTATCTCTGATCAATTGTAATGGATTGCGTTGAATTATAGCCAATGGCGGTAATCTGTGACCGCTTTTGGCACACTTCTAGAAATATATTCTAAAATCTCTTAGGACTCTAGAATCCGCTTTTCTCCGTCAAACTAAGGATGTCAGAACTTAGAGCAACCCTCTACTTTAATCTTAATCCTGTTTTTCCTTGAGAAAGTGTGAAAGAACATTTTGGGCTCCTGAATCTGAAGATTCATGCCATATTTTATTCAGGATTCCGTTTCCAATTTTAATAATACTGGTTTGCAGGATATTTCATTGTGAAAAAAATATTCTTCTCAGGATCTTTTCAAGTTGCCACTCAGATTTCTTTATTATTTTAACATGATGGACCGTACTAGGATTCACCCTTGATCTTATTCAAAACCTTGATAGGGATTACAGAAAGAATATCGCTTAGATTCGATTATAGTTTTGACAGAATTCGTTTGGGATCTCTGCGTCATGGTCCTCTCCTGGCTTACAGTTAAATAAAGCAAATATCCTACAAGGAATTTATAGAAGAGCAATGAAAATCCTCAGGTAGTGAATTCTGCTAAGATTCAATCACGATTCTATCTAATTTTCTTAAGCATTCTTCTTACGAATATCTTTTCTGAATATTTCCAGGGTTGTCTTAGGGTCTCTTCAAGGACAAGCATTTCGGATCCTTCCCAGAGAAGGTCAAGGATGGCCAGGATCTTTCTGAAAGCATATCAAGGTCAGACGAAGATCTTTACCATTTTCATTTAGAGTCTACTAAAGCTTGATCTTGAGGATTGTAACAAGATCTATGACTGATCTGGTTCAGGATTTTGAATAAAATTATGAAATGTTTCCACCAAAATCCTTAATAGTTCCTATTTAAGATTCTTCGAATATTTTTGAATCTTTGAATCTCAAAAACTTAAATTGTGCTTGTTAAATAAAATTTTAACAGTAACTATACTAAAATGACAATGAAGAATTTGCAATGTGTTTTGTTCCGGTTCTGACAGGAATGTAGAAGATCAAGAAGGTACCTGAATTTCATTCTAATATTCCTTTGTATCTATGTGTCAGTGAATGGAAGAAATCTGACAGAATTTTTGAAGATTTCTCGTCAAAGATTTTTAATATTTATCTTCAATACTGCATGACAATTACAGCATGGAACTCAGTTATTTCTTGAATTTTATTTTCATATAAAACTTGCAAACTCATTAAAATGGAGATTTTAATATCAGTTTAACTGTTGCACTAACTTTTTCTTAAAAAAGCTTTTAGTAAAGGACGAGTACTTCAATAAAACTTGTACTGGATTTTATTTATTCGTGCTAATCAGAAAAATATCTTTTTGTTCAAATTGAAATCAACCAGTCATACTAGAATTTTATGATAAGTAATCAATAGATTAAGTTTATATTGAATTTTTGTTCAAATAACTTATGTTTGCATAAAGTTCAAATACAAGTTAATAGTTCAGAAGGAATTCGAGATACAGAAGGTTTGAGTTAAATTAAATAGCATGGTACAGTCTACTGCGGTGAACTAATCAGTTTTTTAACTGAACATATAGAAATCAATAATGTGCGTTCATTTCTCTTTTCTGCTTAGAGAAACCTGGAAAAATTTTGACAATCCATCGGATATCATCCTTACAGAATCGAAGTAGAGTTCTGCGAGGTGCAATCAGAAAATATTTTCCAATTAGAAGCCATTGAAATTCTGAGAAGAGCTTGACATAAAGTCAATACAAAATGACTCAGAATTTCTCTAAGATTTTGTTCTAATCATAACAGAATCGTGTTCATTTCGTGTCTACACGTTTTTCTGAGGATTTGATCCTCTATTAACATATTTCTTGTTTTAATTGCATTGGTAAACTGCTCAGGATACTGATAGAATCCTGTTATGAACCTTGTCGAGGTCTTGAAATTCCGTGACTACACGGCTTTCTCAAGATTTAGCAGCTTCTTCGACGATATATGATTGGGAAATAGCAATAAACTGTTACGATCTTGATTGAATCTCAATTAAAATTCTGTCGGCATCTTAAAATTTTATGGG